CGGTCCAATTAGAACGAAATTCAATACTAGCAAGATTTCCCCCAGACACACCCTAGAAATATAGTGGTAAGGAACCTAAATTGTTTCACTCTACAAATGCAGTTATAGCTTATTTATCGCTGACAAGAATTCTCAGCCCTTATTTCAAATCAATAACTACTGCAATAACTGAAATTCCTGATAATGAACGTCTCTGAACGAACTTTTTCCTTTTCCAATAGATAGTAGTACTGACGATAATTACTGACAGTATTGATTAAAATTAAAATAATGTTTATAATTCATATGGACTAATACTCTTATAACAATCAGGGACAGTCCTTTACTAAGGAATCTGCCTGACCACTCTATGTACGAATAGATTGAAACAACTTGCAAGATGATTCTTTTCTTCAGTAAAAAGTTTCATCCTTTTTTTCCTTTTTACGTGTCTGCGTGCTGTTATCCCGTGTTTGATAGGAATGATCTTACTATCTTCATATGAATGCTTTTATCAAACACGCGGGGACAATATTTTTATTAGCGAATCTAACCTTGACCGAATGTGACATGTTCCCTTTCATGAGGACATAGTGCAGTAACTACTGTAATATGCAGAATTGATTAAGTTCTAATCACGTCCTCATAATTAATCTATCTTATAATGTTCATCGCGCCCATGAGAGCCAATCAAATGGCAGGAATCACCAGTGATTTCGAAATACTATCATTATTGATATAAGAAAATAACCTTTTCTTTACATTGTATCACATTATATTTATTATCATTTAAGTCTTCTGTATATTCTTTGGTGCGTGAAAGTGACTTCTTTAATAATACAAAAGGAACCTGATTTATTTTCATATTAATGCTATCTGACCAGAATGGTATTAGTTCAAAGTATCAGCCTGGCTATTTTGATGATTTGCATTTATTGTTGACATGATATTTTATGAGCATCCTGAAGAAGAAGAATAAACCCATTTTACTTGCGAAAGGTTCTCCTTTTTTAATTGAATCTTCTTACTTTTATTGAGAATTCTATCAAGGATTCTGTTAACTCTTCAATATGAGAATAAATAAAATTAACTTTCGAGGTGACTACTTGCTTTTAACAAATTACAACTGACAATTAATTTGATTGACAATTCTATCAAGGATTCTGCTGAGCCTTCAATATGAGAATGAATAAAATTAATCCCTCAGATATTGACTTTCTTTTAACAATAAATACTATCCTTTTACTTTTCATGTGGATTTTGTGAAACGAATCAGCTCGTAAGTGTCTTCATGCTTTACATAATGGTTAAAGAGAATTAGGCTTGTTCCTTTTCATGAGGATATGGTGAAATAACTACCGTTATATGCAGTATCGATAAGGTCTAATGATTAATCAATCCTATAAAGATATTACGCCCATGACAGCCGATCAAAAGGGACGGATCATCAGGGATCTCAAGATAATATCCTTATTTATATAAGAAAAATGAGCTTTTCTTCACATTAAATTTATTATTATCATTTAAGTCCTCTAGATATTCTTTGGTGCGCAAAAGCAACTACTTAAAAAATACAAAAATAACCGGATTTCCTTTCATATTAATGCCATAACATATAGATTCAGCCAAGCCTAAAAGCGGAGCTCGCATTTTTT